CAAAATTATAGTATTATTGGTCTGCGTTATTTCAAATATGTAGACTTACTACATAAAACTGGTCAAGTATTATTTATATTTTTAAAACTCGATTATTCTTGATTTTGGTCGTACACCAACTACCGTATAATTCTTCATAGTAATTGGTTTCCATATCTTTCACATAATAAGAAAAGTGTGTTGGTCAGTGGTAGATTTTCTTCGTAGCTCTTTTTTTTTTGTTCACAAAATTCAAACTAAATATCATTAATTTTAGGAACCAAACAAAATGAATTTATTGTAATCATGTAATATTATACCTAATCCATAGAATATGATGACATTTGACCGACCAACAAGTATCTCCTTGGGAACGAACTAACCAGCATCGAATCTTACAACGTCTTTGGAACTCGAATGGCACAGCATCACCATGGGCGTTATAGTTAAGATGGAAAACAACAAGTTTTTACCAGCCGACATCTTGATCCTTTCTTTCAGGTAAGACCGAGCAAAGCGGGATATTAGTTTGAGGCATTTTCCCAACGTCTTACTGTGTATTCGTAAAGCGAGCCAATGAGCATGTGCTTTACAGAACCATGAACTGGGAAGGTGAGACCAATTTAAAAATCTGTCAAGGCCTTCCGGAAACGTTTCAGCACGTCTACCCCGGGGATCTGGTGCAGTTTAAGGGTGCATTCGAGTGCGAGCTGCCTAACCAGTTAATATATGATTTCAACGACAGTGTGAGACTTTCGAATGGAAAGTAAGTGCTAAGGCCACTTCTCGGACGTTAAAAACGAAGGAGGCCAATAAGCTTGTTAAGATCCAAAAAGGAGGCCAAAGAGTATTTTGACCAGCCAATAAGGAAAATGATTTATAGGTTCAAATTAATAAATCACAGATACCCGCGCCGTCAAAAGAAACGTTCTCTTCAGTGTTACAACATGGCAATAAGCAATTATTTGTAATTGATAGTTAATTATTATTAAACATAATGTTTTCGTAATTTTATTGTATTTTATTTCATTTTGAAATTTTCTCATCAATGCCTCGTAAAAAATGAACACGTCGTCCACGATTCTGGAGTCAGCAAAAAAAGAAATGGAATCTCCAACAAAAATTGAACAGTATAAATGGGCCTAGTTCTAGACTCCCTCCAAAAAAAAATCAGCCTATCGAAATTGTGATATCTACAATGTGGCCAAGTCTGATATATGTCTTATTTTATTCGGAAACTGGCCAAGCGTTAAGCAATGATATTTAAATATAATAAATATTATTAAATATAATAAACGTTGAAAAGTACGTCCTTTGATAGAAATGTTAAAAAAACGTTGTATTAATAATTTTGTACCAAAAGAACACAGTGCAATATTTATGAGTTTTTTAAACACAAGTGATTCCGAACGTCATGTGTCAAGGAAGAGACCGTAACACCGACCACAACAGTACCAAGGGCAAATCAATTACATCATTGTGTTTTAAAGATGCCCTAAAAATAACAGAAAACGAAGCACAAAGTATAATCCTATTCCGAAACCAACTTGTTAGACAAATATAGTTGCAATGGATAGCGGGGAAAAGTAGTCAACATTTAAAATTATAATCCCAAGGCCTTGGCCACGACCATAAAGACTGTACAGCTCTCTTAAGGGTTTTGAGGCTCCGGAAAAGTGCAAAATAAAAATTTGTTGGAATTGCCATCGCCCGGGGCATTACTTTTCCCAATGTCCCATGTGTTATGAGATAAAATAACAAAAATAGTATTCTAGTTTAAAGTACGTGCATTACTTTTTATCTAATTAATGTCGACGCCAAAGTAAATATCGGCTGGGGACAGCAGCATAAGCAATGTGTTTAACTTTTTTAAGGTGGAGCGAATACTTGTATATGATGATTATTTTATGATGAACCACTTTTTTAAATAATACTACACTCTACCTTTCCTTGTGCCCTAAACTTGAAACTTCAATAACTTAAAATATATACGTTACTATTTAAGTTTTAAAAGTTGCTATCAAGAAAACTAAGTTGGGGGTTAAAACAAAAAAAAATGTGTAAAATTGAGATCACGTTGTATAAAAACAATATAAAAAAAAAATTATTTTTTATTGTGCCCTATGAGATATTGAAAGGTTCATGATACAAATAATCACCATGCATACTATATATAGCTATATAGTAATTTTCAAATAAATTTCGTGTGGCGTTTCAAAATAAAGTTTAAAATAAACTTAGAAAACGCCAAAACTTTAGATTTAAAATTTGGGATTTTAAAAAAAAAAAGTTAACAGATTGTTTTTTGTTGCTTGGCCACGTCACATCAATACATTTATTCTGCTCTATGGCAACGATTTTTCTATAATAGTTACGTTACTTGTTAGTTATTATTTTTAATGAAAATCATTTTTTTTTTAATTTGCATTTTTGCAACTGTGTACAAACACCACAGTTTTAACTTTCAATATGTTAATTGTTACTGCAATTATTGAATTATGCTGCCGTAAGTAATATATTATCAATACAACTACTAAACAGTAAGTGAATATAAATGTTGAGACACTTTTTTTGATTTTTGATTACTACTTACCAAAGCAGTCTATGAACTCAGAACGTTGAGCACTAAAACTGTATGTCTAAAGGCAACGATTTTAAGAATTTAAAAAATATGATACAGGGACTTTTTCTGTTTCATCGTTATATATTATTATTTTAATAACAATAAACTGTTAAAAAATCGCAGTTAAAGGGAGGAGGAGTTAGAGGAGAACGAAAATGCGACAGATGAAACGCAAACGGAAATAAACGTACTAACCATTCAAAAAGAAGTGATTGACGAAGATGCGTTCGCCGATGAAGACATCAACACAAATCGGTACCATAATAATGATATGGAAGGCTGTAGATGCAACAAATGCGATGGTCAGTCGCGCACCAGGTTATTTATTATTATAAACCTTCGTTTGTAAATCCCCTTTGGTAATTTCCGATTATGTCGTTTGACCATAAAATTATAATATGCCATTGTCTTTGAGTTATTTCCTCGAAAACGTTTTTAATAAATAATAATGGATGCAGAATCTATGGAAACTAGACCTTACTCTCTCTTATTGTGCTGGTTTAAACTGTGTTTGGTTTCGACTGTACTGGTTTACACGGTGCTTAGTTTATACTGTACTGGTACAAACAGACCTTAATTTATACTCTAACGGTTTTCAAATTAAATACCCTCCTTGAACCACTATGCTAATTAATTACTGAGCTTGCTTTCAACTGTGCTTGGTTTGAACTGTACTGGTGAGAACGCAACTTGATTTATACTCTATATGTGTTTATACTATACTTGTTTGGATTGCACTGGTTAAAAGTTTGATTAGTTTCAACTGTACTTGTTCAAAATATACTTGGGTTGGCCTATACAAATTTAGACTGTACTTGGTTTATACTGTACTAGTTAGTGTCAACTAACTAGTACAGTGAACTAACTAGTGTCAATTACTGAGAATAATCAAACAATTTGTTTTCTTTCCAGGGACAATATATAGATGTTTTCATATTAAGTGACCTACAGTTACGATACACCCTGTGTACAGAAGTATAAATGATGACCAATTTAACATTATTTCAATCTGACAGGAGACTCCATCATACAACCTTCAATCTCATTAATATAATTCTACGGATATGTGTTGATGACTTCATCGGAGAACGCATCTTGGTCGATGACTTCTTCTTTGATGGTTTATCCATTCATATACGTTTGCGTTACTTTTGTCGCACATTCGTTCTCCTCCATGTTGTTTTTTGGGGGTCTATAAAAATAACTAATTATCTTTTATTTTTATCATTACAGTCTTATACATAGTTTCTTAATTACGATACGTTATGGACAATAAAGAGTCACGAGGTGGACCTAAAACTTTCAAAAAAACTACACAAGTACGGAGCAAGTATGTTCAAGTCGTTCAATATGTGATCGTTTCAATTTTTTTGTTAATAATAATTAAACATTATTGATTAACATTGTATAAATGTTTGTATTTTTTAAATAAAAACAGCACTTTACTGTCTACTATAACAAAATATTTAAACAGTACTGTTGAATTTACAATGATATGAAGTCTACAATGCACAAAGGGATATAAATTATACATTTTTTAAAAGATGAGAGCTTTAACTATGTTTCGTTGGAATTCGACTTTAAAAAAATATTATCCTAAATTTTAGAATAAATACATTTGAATAATTAAAAATATGCCCTTTATTTATGCCATTATTGGAAAATTTTTGTTATTAACTATTAGTTAATAAATTATTATTAGCTTTAATTTTTGTTTATAGACCCACAAAAAAATATTAATATTTTTTAAATGTTTTCAATAAGTCTTTAAACGTTTAATGGTTCCTTGAACATAATTTAGCGGCCCGTGATTGGTTCATTACATTTAAACGAGCCATTAAATTTATTAACTCTATGCAACCCAGCATTTAGTAAGATAAAATATAAATTGTGTCTAGCGAGAGATATTATGTTTGAAAATAATCAAAGAATTATCCAAGTTATGTGGGTAGCAGAGAAAGAAATAAGCTGAGACAAATAAAAGGAACAATAGACAAATGACCAAAGCAGAACCTGAAGCGAGAAGAAGCAACCACAATAAATAAATGAGACTCTGAATAGGTCTTACAAAACATTTAATGGAAAGAGAAGATACTTTAGCATAATCAGAGATCTGGATCACTCTAGATCTAAAGAGTAAAGATGGGCTATAACATACACAATTTTCTAGAAATTCTGCAGCTAAAATGTTTTTTACAAAGCGAAATCCCTTTTGACCTTTACAATGATTTCAATAGATATTAAATACTGCTATGGACATGTATATATCTGAAACTCATCCGCATGAATTATTCTTCCTATACCGTCTTGTGACTTTACCGCCCTACACGCTATAGTATAGTATATAAATGTTTTAAATATAATATTTAATAAAAAAAACAAAGTGCATAAAATATAATGATGAATGAATGAACACTATAATAATAGTATAAAGCTCACAATACAATAAATAATGTTGAACAATAATATAACTTGAATTAAATATAGCGATTTAAGTGCATAAAATAGAATAACAATACATAGCGATTATTGGTTTAAACTTGAAACGAAGGTACAGAAATTGTTATAAACGTTCAACGGGAACAGTTTCAGTGGGAGGATCGAGAATTGGTTCTTTCTTAAAATGTTCATGGCCGTTGCCTGGAAAGAACTCGGCTTTCTTATAAATCACTTTGCCACTAATTGTGTCCGTCGCGTTACCGAAGCTGTCGATTTTCGCTTCAAGTGGCAGTCGACTTTTAAGACCGGGATATAAGATGTCCTTTACATATTCGGTAATACAATACTTTGCAAGATCTCGACAGTTTTGTCGGGTTTTCGTTAACTTTATGTCATCGTCGGTCATGCGATCCGGGCATAGAGTTTCTATCCATTTCCATTTTTCTGCAGCCAAGACTTCCGGTGTCTTATCCAAACCCAGTAGTTCGTATGTCACCGGAAATATCGTGACGCCCAACACTTGGAGTACATGAAAAGTATAAACGTTATGATTTAAAAAAAAAAAGTTGCAATAATATAATTGTTAACTTAATCACCTACACAGCATAATATCAATCTAACTTAAGACACTAATTTGTTGAAAACAAATGAAAATGTTGGGGTTTTAAAACTTAAAATTTTTAAATGCGTTAAACGTCTAATTTAAAATTTGATAACAAGCTGACTACGCTGCTAAAGCGTTGTCGATTTTTTTATTTGGAATTTACGGGTTTTTAAATATATTTGAAAAAATGTTGACTATTTTGTAGCTATATTTACATATTAATACTAAACAAAGTATGTGTTGATTGTTGTAAAATGTTAAAGGCTGTATGTCACAGTATTTGTGTTAAAAAAATCATAGTTTCTGTTAATTTATTTAAACATATATAATAAGAAAAAAATCTGCTAAAATATTGTATTCACTCTAAAATCTAAATACAATATTAGATTCCCAAGGTAGTCGCATGATACAATTTTTACCAAGACCAAAAAATATAAAGTAGCATAGCCAAAAGCTAAGTCTAGCCCAAATGGATCAAAACGGTATTGTACTGTTGTAAGAAGTATCAAATTGAAATTATTGTATTATCACAAAATCGAGTATTGACTTAACAGAATAAGAGGCATACAAACTGAGCTTTGTCCAAACTGAGCTTAGCTCGTTTTTTACCGACATTTTTGTCACAGTCAACTCTCCCCTCACTTCGTCCTTAATTTAATTTGGTCAATGGCTATTTTTAATTGTTGAATCAAAAATCATATTCGTATAATGTAAATGGAAAAAAAAATAGTTTGTAATTACTAAACAAGGTGGACAATTGATATAATCCTTTTTCCTTCAGACAGCCGGACAAGTCTTTGCAGGCTTGGTGGATGAAACGCATGTCCTTCATGTAAATAAAACAAAAATGCATATGTAAAGCTGCTGGTTAATTTATTTTTTTATAATTATTAATTTCAACTAATAATAACAGACTATAAAATAATTAGAAATAAGTTTAATATCTTTTAAGTTATTGACTGGGTCATAGTAAACCAATATAAACCCGGTATGCTAAATCGAACATAAAATACTCAATACAAATGACTACATTGTTTGATTGTAAAATACAATTAAAAAAACTAAAGTTCGTGATTATAAAGAAATTACCACGTCAGTATATATTCTCAATACTATATTTTGTTCAATTTTTTTTTAAATTAAATAAACTTCAATTGAATTTTACATATTCATCATATTCCTTCCTAGCTTTACGTTATGTGTCATCAATATAAAGATTAGAGGTTGATGATTTACCTCAATTTCTGGTTCGTCTTCGCTATCGGCACCATCAACTGTCGCTTCTATTTCTTCATTTGCATTGTTGCTACTAGATGCCTTGTCCTTTATAAAAAAACATGGAATTTAATGTACAATAATAAAGTCAATTATATCAATGTTCGTGCCTACATAGTAGTTTCCAAGTCAGTATCTATTCTTATCATCCCTTTTTTTTTTAATAAAACAAATTCCTACTGATTTTTACATATTTATCGTATTCCTGCCTAACATTAGGTTGTGTATCATCAATATAACAATCGAGTTTTAAAGCTGGCTTTACCCGATTTGATGATTCGGCCTCACTACCGGCAACACTAATTGTTGGGTTGTTACCAATTGTCGACATATCCTTTATATAAACAAAAAAATATGTATAATATAATTACACAATATAGTGTATAGTATAGTTTTATTATAAATGTATACAAAAATAACATTTTTATTGAAAAGTAGTTTATTGTATCTACTTACAATTTATTAGTTTTATGGAATAATAATGAAGTACGATTTTTTAATATTTGGACAACTTTTATCTCATAACAAAATATGTAAGATGCAATCTGTGTATTAATGGATAGGTGATGTTTAAGATATATAACACTACTTTTTCAAGATACAAATAATTATGTCAATAATAATTCCATAACTAATAATCGATTGGCTTTTTTTTAAAACGCCTTAAATTGTTTCACATTGTAGTAATCGTTTTTTTCACACTTGTTTAAATTATCTATCATTTTGACTAACACTATTTCTGTTTCATAGGATATTGATGTAACCCTATAAAAGGTTCTTTAATTATATAATCATACAATATTTTTGTTATTTTTTAGATACTAAATGCTAAATTTACTATACTGTTATTAAACGACTACATTGTTTGATCGAATAACAAAGTCAATAACACCAATGTTCGTGCCTACATAGTAATTTCCAAGTTGGTATCTATTCTTATTACCCCTTTCTTATTTTAATAAAACAAATTCTTATAATAATGTGTATAGCAAAAAAATAAATAAAAAATAATATTTTTATTGTACTCATTTCCATAACACATCTCAGAACCAAATATGTAATCGGTCGTCTGTGTATTATAATGTTATACAACATGCTTAACCGAAAATTAAATACTGTATTCAAATGACTACTTTGTTTGATTATATTAAAACGTTATAATAAATTATTAAAGTGCATATCTATGTGTATGGTATTTAATACTTTGCCGGATTTGTTGTCCGATTCGGATTCGGATAGGCAAATAGTGTCATCGATTACTGTCGCTTCCGTATCATCACTCGAACTGGTACCACTGATTGCCTCGCCTAAACGAACACAAAAATAACACATGTTGTAAAAAAAAACGTTTTGGCCGTTTGGTATTTTAATACGTGTCCTAGAAGTTTGGCAACGACGCTCACGTAGGCTACCTTAACATGGTGTTGCAGTTTGTAGATAATTTACAGTTATTTTAATTTAGCCAATTAAATGATGCGGAGAAAGATATAGATTAAGATGTTTAAGATTAAGTTTAGCTATTAACCAAAGAATTGTAAAATGTATAAAATATAATAAGACACGACGGTAGGTCTATTAGCTTATGTAGACGACGTAGTATTGATGGAAGAATCTCAAGATAGGTTGGAGATATTATTCAGTAGACTGAATAAAGCAGCATCAAAAGTAGGGCTATACGTAAGCGAAGAAAAAACGGAGTATATGTTTTTGAGTAGACGAGGGCTACCTTTTTGACAGTCCATAAAGATAGATCACTATGAATTTAAAAGTGTTGAACAGTTCAAACACTTCGGTACTATTTTGACGGAAAAAAATAATGTAGCAAACGAGGTAGCAGCGAGAATTCAAGCTGGGAATGAATGTTACTATGGACTTACTAAGGTACTAATTTCACGAGCAATATCGCGAAGAATGAAAGAGCAATTATATACGTCCCTGATACGACCGGTTATGGATCAGAAACAAGGCCACTTAGAAAAATGGACGAAAACAGATTCATTGTCTTTGAAAGAAAAGTGTTGCGGAAAATGTATGGGCCAGTCAGGGACGAAATAACTGGGGAGTGGAGACGAAGAAAGAATATAGAGCTGGAAACATTATATAGTGGTTTGGATGTATTGAAGGTTATCAGAAGAAGAAGACTACGGTGGGCTGGCCAGATGCTTGGAGGAACCAAAATCCGCTACTACGTGCAGTGATTGAAAAAAATCCTGTAGGTAAAAGACCTTTGGGAAGATCAAGAATGCGCTGGGAAGATGTTATAAAAAAGGATGTCGAACAGATGGGGGAAGTGGTTCCAATTGGAGAAATCTAGCGTTGGACAGAGAAGGATGGAAGCTTGGTTGTGAGACGGGATGGTCATAAAGGCCCAATAAACCCAAGAAGAAGAGAAGATAAAATATAATATAATAGGACAGTCGATGAAAGAGACTATCGTGTGTTCTGCCTGTGCTTGTCATAATGTTAATATTATACAGTGCGACTTACCCGAGTGTAGGATTGTGAAAATAATCACAAAGACAAAACACAATACGATTTTTAAATCGATCATAATGATATTATATTAATTGGAAACTACTTGTTATGAGTAAAACGTTTTAGCAAATGAGCAATGATAAAAACTTCAGTTGTGTATTCTTTGACGGCTGCAACGGTGTACAATTTTTGTAACAGCGCAAGTAAAATAATTAAAGTCTAGAATTTATTATAATGACAGCTATTCAAACAAGGGGACGCCGTTAGCTTTAGTCGAAAATTGTCTTATTAATTACATTATTCTTACAATGTGACAACTGCTGTTTACCGGGCAAACATAGTGCGTTAATATGAGACCATAATTTCGGGATAAAGGCATGAATTTTAATTATTCGATAAAAATATTGTCACCGTTATGGCAATTCAATTTGAAGGTGGAAAATCGGCAGATATTTTATCGGGTTATCCGGTTTTGTGGTCGAATAAATTGATTTTTTCAGCTTTTGACTCACCAAAGTACCAATCGCATACGATTTCGGGTAATTTAGAGGTACTACTCGAATGATGTATGTCCATGGATAGCAATGTTAAAGATATAAAATACAAAATATTTTTTAAATTTTCAAAATAATTATTTAATTACCAATTGCTAATCGATTATTTTATGGTTTTTTTATTCACTCGATTTTTTATACGTTTTTTTAATAAATATCTATCCAATTTCTATCAAATCCCTACACCATTTCTGGTTTAACGACACATTGATGTAGTTGTATAAGACGCTATACGAATTTATAATAATACATAGTATTATTATTATAATAATACATAGTATTATAACACCTAACTTTATACCATGTTCGTTTGTTTTTAATGCATTAATAACTGAACAGTATAAAATATATTTGTCCGACCGCATTATTGCCTTTACAATGATTTCGATCGTTATTTAATATTGCTACCATCTACAGATTCACATATTGGAGGGATATTTATCAATCACAGCTATTATAATTTCAAATGTCTTGTGGCTACACACGTTAAAATATAATATTTAATAAAAATTAATAAAAATACAATGTTTGCAAAGTGCATAAAATATAATGGCGAACGATAATATGATATTATAACAAAGTTCAAGAAATATAACATTAAATGGTAACACTATAATAATATAAAACTCATAATACAATAAAAATAATAAAGAACAATAATACTATAGTGTGTGTGTAGAATATAGCAATTTAAGTACATTAAATGTAAAAATATCAATTATGATATTGCAGTGTGTTCCGAAATTTGGTTATTTATTTTAAATTTCAGGTGTGCAATATTCATGTTTTATATGTGCAATTATATTATCATTCAAAACTCAGTGAAAACTTAATTATTATAATTTTTTTTCTTTTAAATTCAGGAGTGCAACATTTTTAGGGTCGGTGCAATTGGTTTCACATAAAATTTGTAAACGAGGGTGAGAAATTTTTATCGACGTCTTCTAACGGGAACAATTCTAGTAGGATGAGCAGAAGATGTTGCTTCCGGTGTTTCTTTTGTAAATAAATCGCTTCCAGCGCCTGGGAAGAATTCCCATTTATAATAAATCTTTTCGCCCTCTCCGTCCACCACGTCACCCGCCTGGTCAACAAGTGGTTTTTCGGGCGATCGACCTTTGCGATTAGGATATATGATATCCAATACATACTCTTTAAAACATTCGTCTGCCCAATCTCGACAATTTTCTCGGTATCTTACCACATCAAAGTCTTCGTCTTTCATAACGTCAGGACACAATTGACGTATCCCTTTCCGTTTTTTTTCATCTAAGGCTTTTTTTGTTTTCTTTTCCAATTGTAGTATTTCGTACGTCAGTGGAAAAATCGAGACGCCCAGCACTTGAAATACATGGAAAGTATAAAGATTATATTATTTGTAAACACATTTGTGTATGTTATTGTTGACTTTATCGCCTATACAACATGACAGCAACTCAATAGATCAGAAACCGTAACTGTAGGGTACCTACTTTTTTAGGCCAAACATTAAAAAAAATCTGCCCTTACCCTATAAAATCGAGAAAAAAACTCCAAAAAAATTACAAATTTTTTAATTTAAAATTACGATGCTCTTTTTAAAAAAAAAAATAGTCTGATTAGTACCAAATTTGTTGGGAATATCCTTGGTTGTAATATTAAGAAATGTAATATAAATTAAATAAAATAGCAGCTTAGCTTAATATTCTACTGACATTGTTGTGATAGGCAAGCTCCCTCCCAAAATCTATCATTTAATTGCTTCAGCGTCTGTTATTATAGTTGTCGAGTTAAAAATTATGTTAATTTAAAATATAAGAATAAAATAAATGGTAATTACTGAACCAGGAAGATAATAGATGTAAATTTTTTTCCTCCAGACAGGTGGACAAGTCATTGCAAGCTTCGTTGATGAAACGCCTGTCCTTTATATATAAAAAAAAATACAATTGAAAAGTTGCACGTGAGTTATTTTTTACAATCAATTAAACATTTATATCATATACATATAATTTGCTCTGTAAATATCATTTATAAAAATAAATATTACAATATTGTTTACAGAAAATAAATAAATATCTTTTTACTGAGCACTACTTAGATTGTTAATGTTATAATAGAATACGATTTTTTTATTACTTGGCCACATTTATATCTCATGACGAAAAAACTGAAACACTATTTGTGAATTATAGGAAGATAGGCAAATTTTAAGATACGATATAATTTTTCAAGGTAAAATTGATTATGTAAGTACTACTTTTACACTCGTTTATTGATTGGAGATTTAAAAGATGCATTTAACTATTTTACGTTGTAGTAATCTTTTACTATTCACATTTTTTTAAAATTAATATCTAACATTAAATACTGTTTTTTTAAATAATTGATTATACGTTAATTAATTAAAACAAATGTTCATGCCTAAAAAGTAATTTCTATCTTGGTATCTATTTTCAATATTGCTTTTTTTCTTTTAATTTTGTTTTTATAAAATAAACGCCAACGGGCCTTTACATACCTATTCATCATATTCCTAATAAATTTACGTTGTATAATATCATTATAACATTCGCGTTAAGATTATCGATTACTTACTTTACTTTCAATTGCTTCTTCCGAGCTGCTGCTATTTGCTGCCACGTCTTAAAGAAATACAAAAATAACATATGTTTAAAAAAACACTTTTGATACGTGTCCTAGAAGTTTGGCAACACTGCTCTTGTGTGCTACCATACGATTTTGCCTATATTGCCCGGTAGCAGATAATTTATAATTATTTTAATTTAGCGAATCAAATGATGCAGAGAAAAATATAAATAGGATACAAATTATGATCGAGCAGCGTGCAGCAAAAAACCAAAAAAAATTATTAAAATTAAAAAATATATTATAGTTAGCCTGTCAATGAAAGAGACTTCTGTATTCTACCTGTGCTTGTCATAATGACTATATCAAACAGTGCGACTTACCATGGTGCACAATTGTTAATATTGCAAAAGCAAAATATAACACGAATCTTAACTGGATCATAATGTTTTTAATTGAGAATTATCGTAATAGTTAAAATTTTTAACAAAGAACCAACGCTAAAGTCTTTAAGAGAGCTTCTAAAGAGAGCTACTACAGTGTACAATTAAAAAAAAAAAACACTTAGGTAAAATATTTTTTAACTAACAGCTATTCAAACAGTGAACGGCGAAACTTGTCAAAATTGTTCTTATTAATTATTTTTTTCGAACAAAGTAAACAGTTGTTGTTTAATGCGCATACATAGTGCGTTAATACTGTAGATATAATTACACGTTTTATAGTGGCTACCAAAAACCAAAGCCTAGTAGTATATATTATTGTCGAATAAGTTCAATAAACTTAATATTTTGTGAGTGCTTTTAGGCCTTTAAATAGGTATCCTATGAGAGCGGTCTCGTTCAACGTTGCTATTGAATACACCACGTTATTACACTGCTTGTGAGCTGCATTGTGTGCAATTGGTATATAATACCATCTCTAGTATTGTATGTCTAGTGGCTGACAATACACGATCCCAGATGAATGTACACCAGCAATAAGCCAATGTAAAGTGTGTAAAAGAAAATCGAATTTGCACTTGACTTACAACCTTTTTTTCCCAACTCTTTAGGGCGTTCCGTTGTGCTAAACCTGTACTGTATAATGCAGGATAAAATTGTATTAAAAAATCTTTTCACGTAGCAAATATTAAAAGAAAATATATATTTTTCTACATTTTATGTTTAAATTCCCACACAAAAATCGATTCCATGCCAATGTTTGATCTAAATAAAATATTTTGACCATGATGTCAAGTACACGGTGATCTTATTTTTAACATAGATTAACCAACAATATAAGTACCTACCTACACAAAAGGTTGTATTTGAAATTAGAATCAAATTGACAGCCAGATTAAAATAAGTATACATAGTATATTATTTATTGTTATTTGTTTATTATAAAAGAAACATGTTTTACTACCCATGTTACTAGCAAAATAAAATAAGTAGGATCTAGTTAGTGGATGGTATCAATTGTAATGTCGGTGTAGACAGTGGATTTGGCATCAAACAAGATTGCATAGGGTCATTTATGTGTCATCATGTTGAGGGTGATTGACTAAGAGACTTGAATAGTTGGAATTTTGGCTGACTTGGCACAGCCTCAAGTTTGATTTGCATAAGTATAAATAGGTCTCAATAGGGATTTTTAATAGGATTTGTGCATGATGGGTGTTGTGTGTGTTGAGAGTTTTGATTTCACAATTGGTTGAAGTTAGTGTAATCGGCTGTTGAGAACTCGTCTCTTTGATTAAAGATGGGGACGACAGGGTAGTCTTTTATCAAGTGTAATGCCAAGTTATTTGACTGTTAAATTATTGACTTAAGAATATTGTGGTGATGGAGAATAGGTTCTGAAGCGAAATTATGAGCTTACCATAGAGGTCTTATTATTTTGTGTATAACCTTTATTAATAGCCAAGCGGGAGGTGGAACTAAACAGATACCTTTATAGGAGATAAATAAAAATGTTCAGTTTGGTGATGACCATTGTTGTAGATAGTGGACAAATTTTATTAAATTATATACCCACTGGGAATTTTTTTTTTAATCACTTTTGATGCGCTTAACTTTTGTTTTGGACCACTTTGCCCCGTCGGGTAAAATATTTAATTTGCCCTCTGCCGCCTCCGACGCTGATCGAATACACTGTTGCGTGATGGATCATCCCCGCGGCCTTTGCCTTATAGCGAGTTGGCTCACTTGTTTCTTGGGTTGTTAATAAAATTACCACTAGAAAAAAACTACATACCGTCTCTATATAATTTTTTTTTTTTGATTGATCGTGTGTGTTTACACACCGTGACTGGCAAAATTAGGCGCGCGCCGACCTATCATAAACATATCTCATCAGACATTATAATATATAATAATAGTTGTGCTGCTGCAAATGAAAGCGCAATAATAGTTACCACTGTAATGATTAAAACGTCGTTTGATCGCTCGGCCGGTCTTAACTTGCTTCACGTCCATCATCGTCGATAATAATTACTGTTATAACCGAATTGATCGTTTTAATTGTTTTGCGGCCGTTCCTGCTTTGTCGGTCGAATGTGTGCAAGTCATTTGGTCTGTAAACAAAATTAACATCATGATTTAATGACCTTTATATCGGCCGAGTCCAACAGAGCAATATCCATGATGAGACGAGAAGGTCACAGGTCTACAGGATTTATCATAACTGAATGTGATAAATTCACTATAAACTCTCCAATGCGAATCCGAGTTTGAACTATTTAGTTTATCTTACTGTTAACTCGTATAACCTTATGTATAATATACTGAGTTTTGTTTGTTTTTGCTGGTTTAATAAAGCCATATGTAGTAGCATCAGATATTATAAGATGTAACTATACCTTCGATCTAGCTAACCTAGACGAACTAACCTACGGGTAGTTCACGGTGTCGGGGCCAAAAAATATTTTTAAAAAAGTGTCCGGCAGTGCTTATAAAAACGCTCAAAGAGCACAGAATGACGAACGGTTAAAAAAAATGTCTTGGAGTTAAGTTTTTAGATTTGGGCAATTATTATATAATAATAATTACATTCCAGTGCACACCAAATACCTAAATTATTTTAGTGTTGTATAAACTTATTACTTATTTATTCACGAGCATATTTTTTATAATAGATAATTTGATATACATTTTTACTGTTTTAGTTAACCATGAAAGGTGCAAATCCATATATTTATATTTTTTTTAAAAGGGTGACCAAAAATTCAACATAAAAATAAAAATAATGTATTAATTTCAAAAAATGTAAAAAAAACCTTTACATTTAAAAATGTATCCTTCTGATTTTTGCAATGCCTACTGCTTATAAGAACGGTCAAAGAACACAGAATATTTTTTTTTGTTTTTGTTAAATTGCTCTTATCATTTTTAATGTACTTATGAACAGTTATCAGCAGCCGATTATTTCAAATATAAATAAGGTTGTAGATACAACAAATGCGACGGTCATTCGTGGCAACGCGAAGCCAGGTATGGACTCTCCTATACTAAAAAAACTTAAATCATAAAACGAATTAAATAACCTAGACAAAGCTCTAGTTGACAACCTATGTACATTTCAGCTCGAATAAGAGTGTTTTCTAGGTGTTATTTCGTTCTTTTACTGCGTGATCTTTATTTGTCAGATTAAACTAGTTTTATGCTCAAAGGACATAATCGGAAATTACCAAAATGGATTTACAAAAGAAGGTTTATAATAATACATATTTTTCAATACCTGGTTATTGTTACTAAAATGATAAAATAATTTACTAATTAAGTATACACTAGGAATTGTTATACTAACAATGTTAAATTTAATATTTCATTTTTTATATTAATGTTCGTTGATCCATTTTGTAATATCCAATTGGTTGTGTATTCGTATCATTTGGAAAATTTTACAAGAAACCTATTGTGCTATAGAAAAGATAAATCAGAATTCAGATAGTCGGTAAACATTATATAGAAATAAACCAATTAAAATCATGAGAAGGACTTTGAAATTACAAACCATCACAAAACAATAAAAAAAATACTGATTGCCAAGATTTTTAAGCCTAATGAATTTTTCAGTACTTTTTTTTAAGTGTTTACATCAAACAATACTTAAATTGATTGTTAATCATTTTTGGTAAAAGCAAACCCGATGCTTTTGTAATAATTAAAAATTTCATTGTCATTTCCCTGGCAAATTTTTTTCAAAAGGAATATTATAAATTATTAACTTACATAAATGGCCAAAAAAATTGAAGTACATTTCATCGTACGTAAATCTGCTTCATAAAGACTACCCCTAACCACTGCTATGAATTTATTAATAAAATATTTCACTTTAGGTGTATCATTACAAAAATTGGCTCGGTATCCATTAAAACTGGGTTCTCAACATGTATACCATTTGTATCATCCATACCACATGAATATATTAAATTATGTAATAAAATAAATAATAACTCGAATAACACACATAAAAAATTTAAAAAAAAAACATTAACAAATTATAACCGATGACCTAATACAACGATTGAATCATTATAATATATGGAGTACTATTTATACTACTATGCCTCTTACTTATGCCTTTTAGAATATATTGAGTACAGGAATTGTATATATGACAGCAATTAAATTTATAATAAATGTAATTTTAAGTATTTTAATTAAAAAAAAAGTATTTTAATCTTACTACTAAATAGTTGAAACTATTTATAAATAACAACATCTGTTGCTATGGAATATAACAATATTTATTATAAACAAAATAATAAGTAATTTCCTTTTTATTTAATAAGTAATTTATTGAAATTCCTTACTAAAAAATATTACCACAATCAATGTATTTATAGAGTTTTTAACAAAACATATTTATTTGATATGTTTTATGTATTTTTAACAGTGTGGCGATATAAAGGGTCGAACTCAGTACTATTGGTTAGGTTCTTAGATATGTTCTTAGTTAACTCTATAAATAGGTTTATACAATATATAATATACAGTATATATCTCATCATTCTTTCATTTTATATATTGAAACAATAGAAGAAAAATACTGCTTTTCCGGGGTGGCGATAAAAATTAAAATACCCAGTTAAACTAAATGCTGGGTTAATAAAACAAAAGGTTCAAAGTTCAACAAACATAATCTATACTGAATAGTCTTAAAGTTTAAGTAAATGAAGTCAAATTGGTATACTTTAACACAACCAAGGCGTTTTTATGATTATTGAATATCATTATTTCAACTTTATTTAAAACCTTACCTAACCAACATATCAGTTGACAGATTTAAGGTAAAATAGTCTAGTTATTAATGAATCTAACAAAAGGCACTTTTTCCCAGTATTATGATATGGTGCTCATTCACAAATCCTACATCATGTGCAGTAATTATTGCAATTCTATTACAATCTCTGTAATAACTTCAAATAACTGAAGTAGGTATCAAAATAATTATCCAATTTAAATACTTACAATGGTTACCAAGGAAGTCTAATTAAATAGTGAATAATAATACTTACCGGTATGCAGTAAGATTAAAATACTTAGAATTGTGAACAACA